AGTGTATGTTGCGGATCCACCAATCTATCTCCCACTCACACTCCCGGATACTCCTCAACCTTTCCACTTCCTCCTTCAGCTCTGCCAACAGGCTGAGCAGATCATCCACCTGGTCACACTGCACACAGGTGGTGTCTCTGCCGCCCTCTGGTACAAGTGACAGGCTCAGGCACTCCCTGCAGCCAGAGACCTGGACAGCTGTACGCTTGCGTGTGAGCTCCGTCTGAGTCGCCACATTCCTTCTGGCGACGGCTTTCGGCTGAGTGGAAACCATAGCTGGTCCTCTTCTGGGAAGGCGACGACTACTAGTTGAGTTGGCCTCTAGAGCCAACTCTATGCCAATGTCATAGAACATACAATGTCATAGAACTATGACATTGTAGAAATAACTGAGATGTGGTGGGATAGCTCACACAGCTGTAGTGCTGTAATGGATGGATATGCCAATGTCATAGAACATACAATGTCATAGAACTATGACATTGTAGAAATAACTGAGATGTGGTGGGATAGCTCACACAGCTGTAGTGCTGTAATGGATGGACACAGGCTTTTCAGAAAGACAGGGAAGATAAGGAGGAGAGGATCTCTGTGTGAAGCAGCAGCTCAAATGTGGGGAGCTCTTGTACAGGTTGGACAAGAGGGCTGGGTGACCACTTGTGGGTCAGGATCAGAGGAGAGGTCAGTGAGGGTGACATCACAGTGGGACTGTGCTACAGACAGCACAACGGGGATGAAGAAGTGGGCAACACTCCTCACAACCTCTTCTTTAAACAACTCAAGGAAGTATCTGGATCGCAGACCCTGTTTTCTACAGGAGACTTTAGCTTCCCTGACACCTGCTGGAGAACAAAACGACAGGACGCAAGCAATCCAGAGGATTTCTGGAGGATGTCGAGGATAGCTTCTTGATACAGGCACCGGACAGGCCAACCACTGTCATGCACAGCTGGATCTGTTATTCAGAAATGAGGAAGAAGTGGCTAAGGATGTGATACTCAGTGGCAGGCTTGGCTGTAGCAACTGTGAAATAGTGAAGCTGAAGATCTTGTGGAGGACTGAGGAAGGCAAGTACCAGAGCACAGACCCTGGGCTTTAGGAGAGCTGACTTCAGCTTATCCAGGAGCTGGTAAGTGGGATCCCATGAGAGGCAGCTTGGAAACACAAGGAGCTTGGAAAAGCCATCATGTCTGTGAAAACAACCTCTTAACACGTGCAAGACTGTCCATGCTGATATTCAGGAAGACAAGCAGACTTATCAGGACACCAGCATGGCTAAACAGGGAGTTGGTAACTGAGCTGCAGTACAAAAAGGCAGCACAGGAGGTGAAAACAGGTACGAATAAGGCTGGGGTGACTCAGTGATGTCTCTGCCTCAACCTTCACCAACAAGGTCTCCCAGACATCTGTGCTTAGCAGCAGGGGTCAGGGGGGAGAGCAACCAGCAGTGGATAAGGATCAAGGCAGGGATGGCTTGAGTTAACTCAACCCATACGTGGCTGTGCAAAGAAGGTGGTTGGGAACAGCACTTAGATTTAACAAAGGGTAATCATACCTGACCAACTTGATTGCCTTCTATGATAAAGTGACTGGATTTTGTGAACAAGGGGAGAGCAGTGGATTTACCCTGACTTGCCTCCAACACTGTCTCCCACAATATTCTCATATCCATGCTAGGACGTGACAGCGTGGGTGGTGGACAAGTAGATGGCTAAAAAGCTGGTTGGACAACCGGGCTCAGATGTTCGTGGTTAATGCTTTGTACTCTTCTTGGAGGACAGTAACAAGTGGAGTGCTGCAGGGCTCTGTCCTGAGACCTGTCCTGTTTAACATCTTCATCAATGACCCAGAGGAGGTGATGCAGGGCACTCACCAGGTTTGCAGATAAAAAACTGGGGCGAAGAGTCCTGCCTGAGGGCAGGGCTGCCATTCAGAGGGGTCATGGCAGGCTGAAGGAATATGAAGAATATGAAGAAGCATTATGGACCTGGGAAGGGAAGGCCCTTGTCAGCTATCGAGGTTGGGGCCTGACTGCCTGGGGAACAGCTCTGCTGAGGAGACACTAGGGGTCCTGGTGTGCAGCAAGTTGAGCCTGAGCCAGCAGTGGGCCCTGGCAGCCGGGATGGCCAACAGCATCCTGGGCTGTGCTAACAGAAGTACAACCAGTAGAGTAAGGGAAGAAATTATCCTCCTCTACTCAGCACTCACTAGATTACATCTAGAATAGGGCATCCAGTTTTAGGTCCTCCAATAGAAGACTTTGAAAGATTGAAGCAAGTTCAGTGGAGACCACCAAGATGGTCAGGGCTGGAGCACTTGCTCTGTGAGGAGAGGCTGAGGGAGCTGGGCTTGTTCAGCCTGGAGAAGAGATGGCTCCAGGGGGACCTAACAGCAGCCCCAGTCCCTGTGGGAGGTTATCAAGGAGTTGGAGCCAGGGTTTTTTACAGCAATGCATGGCAGGAGGAAAGAGAAATGCATGAAAATTGAAACAAGAGAGATTTTGACTTGGTAAGAGGAGAAACCCTTTTCCTCATGAGGACAGCCCAGCAGCGGAGGAGGTTGCCCAGAGGTTGTGCAGTCTCCATCCTTGGAGGTTTTCAAGACCCAACTGGATAAAGCCCTGAGAAGCCTGGTCTGACCCCACAGTCTTTTTAAGCAGGAGGTTGGGCTAGAGACCTCCTGATCTTCCTTTGCACCCAAGTTATCCTATGCTCCTATGAAATATACATAAGAAAATATAGTATCATCCAGTTATACATATATAAAGTATCATCCAGTTTATAGGATATAATATTGAAAATGGATGCCTCATGGCACCTATAATATGAAATAGTTTATGTATTTGCTATACTGAAGTTAAATATGTGAACAGACATCAACAGTAACATGTAAAAATAGTATCTGTACCACAGATTGACACTGCTCCCATGCAGTGTTTTAATATTGACCTGACCTGCATGTAACAAAGAGAAAAGGGCAGAATCAACAAAAGCCCAGGAGGTACAAAACCAGAGAAAAAATGTGGGGGCGAAGTGAAATCCATCTAGCAATCAGAAAGAAAGGCATTAGGACTAAACAGGCAAAGAGAGAGAGAGGTGGGACAGAGAGGAGGTTAGGGCTCAGCTGGAAGGGGACAGGGAAAGGGGCGGGAGGACTGGCACGGGGCCAGGGCATTCCTCTGCTGTCAGCAGAGCGACCTGAAACCCGCTGAGCCAGGGCCTCCTCCATCCCCCTCGCTGAGCACCCGCAGGGATGTGACCTGCCGCTGCTAGCAGCTCGATGTGTTAGGAGGATTCAGCTTTGAAACTACTGAACAGCAGGTGACCTGGCATGGGCGTTAACGTGGCTCCCATCAGTGGGGTCCCTGTTTGCTCCAGTTTGCCATTCTTGAAATTAGTAAATGATGCACATAGAGAAAGTCACCAGAAGATCATTAGGGTTCCAAACGAAGTGCTCTGCATTTTGGAAAAGCCTCACTTAAGGTTGCCTGCTCAATTCTTTGTGCATCAGGATGCAGCCCGCAATTAGATAATCATACTGTCTGATTACATTGTTATATATTTTCTCCACACATGAGCTAGAACAAAATTTCAAAGGTTTCCTTTGAAAGGTTTCCTGAAGCTTTTGTGGATTTTACAATTGTTTTTAATTTTGAAGAGTTTTCCTTATATGTTATACATCAACCACAAATTCAAAATAAGGTCACTGTCTAAAGAATTAATTCATTAATGACAAAATGAACAAGTAAGACATTAGGTAATATTCATATTATAACTTCATGCTGAAGCTTTAGCAATGCTTTTTCGGATACTACTCTTTAGATAAATACTACTTTTTGTAAAAAAAGAAAAGGTACTTTAAGGCCAGGTGATTACTTTGTTTCAGCACTTCCCGTATTTCCTACCCAATGCACCTTGCCTCGGTGAAGTTGTATTTAAAACTATTAACTAACACACAAGCTTGCCAAGTCTCACTTAATTGAGACTAGTTGAGGCAAACGTTGTGATAAACAAGAGTAAACTCTGGCCCACCATGAAACCAAACGAATGCAACACCACCACTATTTAAGATAAGTGCTAAAAAATTCAGCACTAATTTGTTTCTTAACAAAAGTGATGGCCATATTTCTTCACAGCTTTGCAAAGCCAAGAATAAACTGCCCTTTTTGTGATATCAAGAAAATAACCTTGTTAATGCAAGGCAAGTAATAAATTCTATTTCAAGGCTACACTAATTAGGAATAAGCTGTGTTTTGACTGTTTTCACTTTCTTTTAATAATTTGGTTTGGTCACACCTCTTTTCAGGAAGCTCCAGACACACTCCAGACACAGGCAAACAATTTCTTCTGCCGTTTACTGATCTAAAGTTATGGAAAATAATGTGCAAAGACATGAAATAGACCCTCAAGAAAAATCCAAGAAAACCACAGACTATTAGTTATCAGTCTGGGTTATGATAACAAACCGATGTCGAACTAGATTTCAGTCTTTGCACTTCACATGCACACAAAATGCATTCACAAATTTCCGTAATTTCCACAGAAATGTACCGTCATAATTAATTTAACATACATGAATGAAGTTTTAATCTTCAAGGTCAGCGGTTAAAGGAAGCTGGGAAATACTCCTATAAAGTACAAGAAATCATTTGCCTTTCCTTTTTATCATTAAACTAAAAAAAAAATAAAATCAACATTTCTCAACATATCTTACCGTTTGCTTTTCCTCTAAAGCTTCTCTTCCTGAGACTTTTCTTTCATGTTTTCCTAACTCCATTTCCCAGGGGACAAAAAAAAAACCACCCTAATATCCTGAGCAGAAGTGATTTAACCTGACTACATGTTAGTTATCCCTGTACTTTTGGAGTAGAGAGAGAGAAGTATCAGGCAGCGCTGTGGTGATTTCTGGTCAGCGCGTGTTTCCATTTATAGCCGTCGAAAATCCACAAATAGAAGCGTGGAGAGAAGGCAGGCAGCTGCCTCTGATAACAATAAACGTTGGTTTGGCATCACAGCAAATTGTTCAGGAGGGATTTTGGTTACCAGCCCCATTCGCTCCCCCCTCGCCCCCTCTACCCCAAAGGCTCATACTGAAAAAGTCCATGAAAATGAATAGCTATGTCTCAGTAGCACTAACTTGTGTTCACGGAGATTATTAAGCAAGTAAAACAACAAATATGATTAGCTGGCACCACATGTTGTCATGTAGAGACAGAGAGTATACAGAACAATATTTTTAAATGGTGCTTTAGCATGACTCATGATCTTTCCCTGTTGAGTGTTTGGGACTGAGCTACCCTCATGTGTGCTCATACAGAGTGTACTCTCCTTTTCTAGTATCAGAACATGACATCTTCTTGGATTTTTGAAATGCAGAAAGAATTGCAAAACTTTCAGCAGGCACTATGAGCACCCCAAAATACAAGAAATGACCAATGAGCATCTAAAATGGAGCTAATACCCACAGAGACGGTGGTTGTGGAGTCTGTTAGTTGACTGTAGAAGAATAACCTGGCTCTGGTTCACAACGATAAAGTCAGGCGGCCAATATTAGAAACTGCAGCACGGGGGGAACCTCTCGGCGGCTCTGCTGCGGGTGCCAAGGTTTGTAACACACCCTCTGGTTGCCACATCAACTGGGCTCATGTTGTCTCGGGGGCAATTCACACGCAAAGCTGGTTCTGCATGTACCAACAAGGGAAGGGGAAGTGCAACAACACAGAATCACACAGAAAATGGTTGCTGCGAAAATATGCTCTCTGGTCAATCTGTGGTTCATTAAGAAAAGCATAGCCCTTTGTAAAGCTGGCAGTTTAAGCATCTCACTACATCCCTAGTAAAGAAAACACACATCCGTTCCCTCTCTTCCTCTCAACACATTGGTAAAAGACGACTCTTCTAAAATAAATAGATGATAGATAGATAGATAGATAGATAGATATAGATATAGATATAGATATAGATATAGATATAGATATAGATATAGATAACACATTGGTAAAAGACGACTCTTCTAAAATAAATAGATGATAGATAGATAGATAGATAGATAGATAGATAGATAGATAGATAGATAGATAGATAGATAGATAGATAGATAGATAGATAGATAGATAGATAGATAGATAGATAGATAGATAGATAGATAGATAGATAGATAGATAGATAGATAGATAACTATAAAAACCACTTCCATCTATCATTTTTCAATTATCTTTGTGGAAATGACAACCAAAACTAGGCACACTCCTTTCTACTCTGCTTGTTTCTTGATAAATGCTATACTCACGTAATCTTTAGAGCCTCAGGTAGGAAGAAAAGGCAGTGAAACAAGTCATCACACAGCAGTCTATACAGTTTACATATGAAAAGTTGACAAAAAAACCAACTTAGAGTGGTTCCTGTTCTAAAATATCCTTCAGAACAAAGAAAAAGTTACTCCAGTGACAATTATATTTCTTTAGTCTCTCTCTTACCTTCGTTTTCAGAAGTGTAAGGCAGCCAGCAGACAAGTGAGTGTGGCAAGGCCAACACAAAGAATGAGTTAAATCTGCAAGGGCTGTCGTAGTAGAGGGAATAAATATGAGCTTGATGTCAAAAGAATAAAAATACACCTCACTGCATCTCCTGGAAATGCTGGGATAAAAGGAACAAAAGTAAGTAAGTGACATAATACCCAGAGGAAAGCTACAGTTCTTTCCTGCTCTTCAGCAGGAAGGCAAACCATATTAAAAAGTTCGTATCTCCAAAATCTTTTCTGTGAGGCTGAAACTTATCCCTGTGGCGAAGGACTTGCATAATGCCTTTGTACCACTTAACGTCCTCAAAGGAGGTCTTCAGTGGGATGCAAACAGCAGCTTATATTACACTGCTGCTTACATTACCGACCATTCCTGAGGCGCAGGTGAAAAAACTGAAGTGCCTCCACTCCTGCTAACCTGTCCATTTGCAACAGTTTTAAATCACGGGCAAGGACCAGAGCATCTCAGGTGGGCATGTTCAGCTGTGTGTGCTCAGTGCGCTCCCCAGCCCTGTCCCACCAGTGGCTGGGATAGCCCAGCGGTCAGCAGGCTCCCAAACGGCAGCTCCCAGGGGAGTCGCTCCTTCCTCACGCTGGGGAATGGATACCTGTCGTGGTTTAACCCCAGCTGGCAACTAGGCACCACCCCAGCTGCTTGCTCACTCCCCCCCGGTGGGATGGGAGAGCGAATTGGAAGAGTAAAAGTGAGAAAACTCATGGGTTGAGATAAAGACAGTTTAATAGGTAAAGTAAAAGCTGCGCACGCAAGCAAAGCAACACAAGGAATTAATTCACTACTTCCCATGGGCAGGCAGGTGTTCAGCCATCTCCAGGAAAGCAGGGCTCCATCACGTGTAACGGTTACTTGGGAAGAAAAAACACCATAACTCAAAACATCCCCCCCTTCCTTCTTCTTCCCCCAGTTTATAAGCTGAGAGTAAAGTCATATGGTACGGAATAAGGGGTGGAGAATATGCTGGTTTCGTCTGGGATAGAGTTAATTTTCTTCATAGTAGCTAGTATGGGGCTATGTTTTGGATTTGTGCTTGAAACAGTGTTGATGATAACACAGGGATGTTTTGGTTATTGCTGAGCAGCGCTTACAGAGAGTCAAGGCCTTTTCTGCTCCTCACACCACCCCACCAGCGAGTAGGCTGGGGGGGCACAAGAAGTTGGGAAGGGGACACGGCTGGGACAGCTGACCCCAACTGACCAAAGGGATATTCCATACCACAGCGTAGAAAGGCTGACATTGCCTCGTTATCTACCACACCTTGCTCAGCATGACATTTCAACACTAAACCTGATGAACGACCATGATCCTAACCATATAAGAATTTGGTTTTATATAATTATGGGAGTACATTTCTCACTCCTACATAGAAATAATGGTTATTTTACTCCAAGGACTTTCTAAAACACTGTCAGTAACCATATATTTCCTGTTTTACTTTGCAGGGGAAAACATAGTAAACAGGTGCTAAGTAAAAAGCATGTTCTAGACATTGCCTAAATTACTGTGCTATTTTCAATTACTTCTTTGTATTACAGTCACTAGTCTCTTGACACCTGTTTTTCTTCTCAGAGCAGAACCTAACAAGAGACCAAGGTATGAAGTTGATGGGGGGGGGGAGGGGTATTTCTTTTTTTTGTAAGAAGCAAGCGCTGAATATCCAGAATACTAGTATTGTGTAAATAAACCACTTAAGCAGATGTATTTTCTGTGCTCACTTGATCTGCTGTTCTTGGAGAAGGAAACAAGTGACTATCATAAAGTTTGTGTGTCACTCTCAGCTGTGTTTTCACTCATGTGGCTACTGCAATTCTTTTACTTTGCACATTTTCATTTTCAGCCTGACACAGCTGTAGCCCAGGGCTGCCAGCCAATAACTGTATCACACGTGACAGATCTGCACCGCTTCTTTCTTAAGCTGGTAGCTTTTATTTGCTCAGCATCAAACACACCATAAGCATTCAACAGTCAGAAGTATTAATTCTGACCCTAATGTGCTCAATCATAATATACTCAGCTGAAAGCCACCTATGTAAGTCACATATACCAGTTAAAAAAACTGACTAATACAGAAATCACGTCCACAGTGATTTTTAGAGGTCTGACTTGGAGAGACAGTTTCTGTCACACACTTAAAACAAGTCAAAAAGTTAAAAGAAAAAAAACAAACACAAAACTCAGTAGGCTCCCTCACTACTTGTGGCCATGAGTTAAGCTCTCCAGATTATTTCTGGTGCCCACCCTTCTGTCAGCCCCAGCACGCCATGCCAGCAAGTATCCCTACGTTACTCCAGCATGTCCACCCAAGGTCACACACACATGCCTGGAAACGTCAGGACCTCTGCAGCATTTCTAGCTGGTATGTCATGGCATGTTCCTTGCAGAAACGAAAAGCACGCCGGAGCCACCGGGGCTGTATACGGAGCAGGCTTACCTTCCAAGCTGAGGGAGCCGAGGGCGGGAAGCTGATCCTTAGGAGAGGTGGGTCCACATTCCTGCCACGGCACCCGGCAGCTGCTGCTGTCGCTCCCTGGTCCACCCCACTGGCTCTGCAAGCGCTCAGGGAGCAGGAGGTAGCAGGCGTGGAAAAAGAAGGCAACATCACAGGCACCGCAACTCTCTGCTTTGCATGTAAGGAAGCAGAGCCCTACATGTCATGTATAGGGAGCAGGAGACTGACAAATTTTCTCCAAGGGGGCAAGTCTGAATATGTTTGAGGATAAAAACAAGGAAGGTTATTTCAACATTACAATAAATTGATCCTGAGAGCTCTGAGCCTTCTCTGACGTGGCAGTCCACGGAAGCTGTAAGTGCTTTCTTCTCTTCATGGGTCTTTTAAGTCAATTGTGTTAAAGTAGACTATCCTTGTGCTGGCAAGGTCCTGCATCTGCTGTCCTCCAGGAGTACAGACAGCAGTGGAACAACTGACCTCTTTTCTGTTGGATATCCATTGTTTCAGCTAAATACACATAATGTCCCTGAATATTACTGCTATATCCCAGCAAACCAAATTATTCCAGGCTGTAAAATATATTTCAGTAGATGCATGACAAAAATAAATCTTCCCTCCCATATTCAGTGGTACTGTTTGCCTTGCCTTTGTCCACAATGATGGACGTGGCAATGATGAGACGTGGCTAACAAAATACATTAGGAAAGCATTAAGTACCTTCTTAGCTATCTTTTAACTGATGTGGCAGCTGGGAACGAGGAGAAGGCAGTTCCCCACAGAAAATGAGCAACTGCTCCATAGTCTGGCAGCGGGAGTTTTCTCGGCACCTCCCAGGTCAGCAGGAAGCGAAAGCGCAGGATATGAGCTGTCATTAACAGACCAACTCCCATCGCGCCTTTTCCACCTTCTGTCTCTGCCCACTCTTATCAAA